TATTTATTTATTTATTATTTTTTTTTTTTAGTTGGAGTCTTACTCCATTGTCCAAGCTGTAGCACAGTGGCATGCTCACAGCCACCCCAGCATCCACCTGCTGGGCTCCAGTGATCTTTCCAAGTAGCCGGAACTACAGGCACACGCTACTGCGCCTGGCTAGTTTTTTATTTATTGTAGAGACGAGGTCTTGCCAAGTTCCCTGGGCTGGTCTCGAGCCCGCAGACTCAGGCAATCCACTTGCCTCAGCCTTCCAAAGTGCTGGGATTACAGGCTGGGTCACCAAGCCCAGGCCTTTCCTTTCCTTTCTTTTTCTTTTCTTTCTTTTTTTGTTTTGTTTTTTTCTTTCTCCAGGCCAGTTGTTTGTTGAATAGCCCTCAATTTGGATTCATCTGATTGTTTTTCCCAAGGAGGTTATATATTTTTTGACCAGAGTGCTACATAAGTAATATCATGCCCCTTTCCGGTACATCGAATCAGGGGGCACATGAGTCTGATTATCCCACTATTGGTAATGTTCAAATTTGACAAAAGTAGTGTCTGTCAGGTTTTTGTTGTTGTTTGTTGTTGTTGTTGTTGTTGTTGTTTTTTGAGCTGGAGTCTCACTCTGTCACCCAGACTGGAGTGCAGTGGAACACTCCCAGCCACCGCAGCCTCAACCTGCTGGGCTCCAGCGATCCTTCCGCCTTAGCCTTCCAAGTAGCTGGAACTACAGGCACGTGCTACCACACTCGGCTAGTTTTTGATTTATTGTAGAGATGAGGTCTCACCAAGTTGCCCAGGGGGGTCTTGAACCCATGGGCTCAGGCAATCTCGCCTTGGCCTCCCAAAGTGCTGGGTTTACAGACTGAGCTACCGAGCCCGGCTCAGGTTTTTTTTTTTTAATTGTAAAGATACCCTTTTTGTTAGCAGTTAAGAAGTCACCTGTCGTGTTGTTCTTTGAAACTGTGTGAGTCTTCTTCTTAATAATCTTTCACCCAGCAGATTTGGCATTCATTGATTTTTACCTGAAACAGTTATTATTATGATGGTTATGATATTTCTATTATTGCTTTCTCACTTGTTAGTTGTTTCTTTTCTATAAAAAATAGTTTTCTTTTCTCCTCCTCCTCCCTCACTTAAAAAAAATTATATCAGTATAAACTCATGAATTCTTTTTTACTCAGTGTGTTAATAATCTGTTATCATCACTATTCTTTCTGACAAATTATTCCATATATGGCCAACAGGATGCCTTCAAGCTGGGTCCCAAGTTTTTTTATATGCCCTCATCATTCCTTGAGTATTTATTTTTTGGGCACAATAAGATGTCCTGGGCTTCCTGCTGCACCCCTGGAATCACATCATATGAGCCATTATCTTTTCAAAGAAAATATGGTTATTTGTCATATTAAAAGAAATTATTTTGTCCATCCTCTTGAGGAAATAATACATTAACATAATGTATTTGATTTGTAAAGCTTGAGTGTAGTTAAATTAAACGGAAAATAATATCATTTGTTTAAAGCTGTTACGGTGACTGAACTTATTTGAACATAAATTTCAGGCAGGGTCACAGGTAGGCAACATTTTTAAATGAATCAAGTTTTAGCCAGGCTCGGTGGCTCAGCCTGTAATCCCGCGTTTTGGGAGGCTGAGGTTAGTGGATTGCCTGAGCCCACAGGTTCAAGACCCGCCTGGGCAGCGAGACCTCATCTCTACAATAAATCAAAAAATCAGCCGGGCGTGGTAGCGCGTGCTTGTAATTCCAGCTACTCGGAAGGCTGAGGCGGAAGGATCGCTGGAGTCCAGCAGGTCAAGGCTGCAGTGGCCAGGAGCGACCACTACACTCCAGTCTGGGCGACACAGTGAGACTCCAACTCAAAAAAAAAAAAAATCAAGTTTTCTTCCCTCCTATTTCCAATTTTTATTCCTTTTTACCTAATATTAGTGCCCTTTTCTTACTTCACTTTCTTTAAGTCATTAAGTACTTTTGTGTTCTCAAATAACTCTCCAGTAACAAGAGGAAAACAATATGATAAATTAATTTATTATTAAATTTTTGAATGTAAGAAATATTTTCAAATAAACTAATCTTGATAGGAAAATTATGTTTAATTTACATTTATTTTCAGTAGTAACATTCTTTATTACTATCATTATACTAATTTTTTGCCTTTAGTATAATCAATAATATCTGTAACAATGGAATTGATATTCAATCTGAATGTTGCAAATTTACAATTTGTTATTTGAAACTGTGGATTATTTAAAACAATGCAAATGAGTAAACTGCTATGTAAGACTTAGAGTTGTCTACCAAAATTTGTTTAATTAGTTATAAAAAGTTGAAATTAGATTAGCCTTTTCCATATTACACTAAAATCACTGGTGAATAAATGGCAAGAGAATTGGGAACATTGTTTTTTATAATTTTTAGTAGGCTATGGTTTGTGGTTTGGTAGAGATATAATTAAGTTGACATTTATAATAATAATCTGCACTACAATTTTAATCTCAATACTAATAATTCTCCTGGGTTCCAGTCTTCACTTTGCCATAACTAGTTTGGGCAAGTTACTCTGAGCTGAGCTATGTCCTATTCTGTAAAAATAAGTAGCTGACAAAGACCTTTCTAGTATTACATTTTTGAATCTCACACTGACATGAAAGTAAAGTTGTACTATATCTCCAACTGAATTTTTGTATCTTTTTGAAAGGAATCTGTAGAGAAGATATTGTGTGAGTGACATATGGAAGGAGCATTTAAAAACATCTCTACGAAGGAAGCATTTAGTAACATGGATATTACAGACAGCGCTGGTGCTTCTCAGCACAGAAAAAATGCTTACTTTTAAAATGCTACATAATAGTAAATGCTATTTACTAGTATGTATAATAAATGCTATTTATTAGTATATAGTATTTTTATTCCCTATATTGACATCTCTCAGCTCACTTAGGAAACTTTTTAGAGCATTCCCTTTCCCTGTTTATTGCCTCTGAGACATTTTTTCCTTACTAAGGGAGAAAAAGGAAGGAGAGAAAGAAGAGAAGTAAACGTTTTAAAAATATTTTTACAATTGATTCTCACTTGAAGTACCTGTGTTCTGTAAAGTTGCTCTGAACACTGAGTTAGCAAATATTGAACCACTTTTCCTAAGGGAAACACAAAGTTAGGTTCCAGGGAGCCTTTTGTCACAACATTTTCATCAGCTGATCAGTGCATAACCTTGTCTTATGTGTTTCTATTTAAAGACACCTCATTTAATGTAATTGATTCATTATCATTAAACTCACAGCTAGTAGCACTACAGGTAGAGCCTCCCTAACTCAAAAACCTGAAATACAGAATGTTCCAGAGTCCAGAACTTTTTGAGTGCCAACCTGATGCTCAAAGGCTCATTGGAGCATTTCAGATTTTGGATTTTCAGATTAGGGATGCTCAATTGGTAAGTATAATGCAAATATTCCCAAATCTGAAAATACCCAGAACTCGAACTACTTCTGGTCCCCAAAAGTGAGTCATACAGGTTATAAAGGTTGATAAACGATAGTCAACCTGTATAATTCATGCTAAACGAAGCTTATCCAGCACATGTGTTTTCCCCATAAGTCATATCACAACTCTTGTCAAGATAAGAACACTTGCCAGCAATTCAGCATTATGCATGTGAGCCATTTTAAACAATAAAATCACCAACAAGAAGCATAAAAATGTGAAAAATGTGGCAGTAAATAGACCGTGAAAAGGACTCTCTCATAGTTTGCACTATGAAAACTGAAACAAGAAGGCAGAATGTTGCCTTGTTTGACCTCTGCTAGGAATGTGCATGTTTGGCAACTAAATTTGACATTGATCTTCACATGTCCACAAATGACCATGAAAATCCTACAAGTATTGATTTAGGATTTATAAATAAATATTAGCCAGTAGATGAACTCACAAATATGAACCCACAAATAATGAGGATCTACTGTACATATGTCTTTTAAATTATATACCAAATAATTTCCATATATTTTATTATGTTTCAGAAACAAAAGAGAACTTGATATATCTACATAATGAGTGGCATATGTTAGAGGAGGTGGAAATGGCATGAGTTATTCCACTGCTTTCTGTTCAGTCTTATGCCTACTTTTAATTTTAAAGCAAGAATTGAGAAGTTTGCAACTTGAGAATTATCTGGGATCTTTGTAAAATGTTAAGCAACTCAGATTGTTAAGGTTACTTTTAATTTCTAAACACCTAGCTATAGGGGAGGTAGCTTTTGACTGACATATTCTACCCTCTTTTTAAATTGCCTGACACCTGCTTTACTATTTGCTTTAATAGATTTTAGTTTTATTGTGTCTGCGTCTTTTATTGCAGTCTGCCTAAAATCCTTTTGGGGAAGTAGGTGAAAAATAAGTAAATGCATTCTTGATAAAAATATTTCCATATAATTGTTTAGGATGGGAATGTCTGTAGACATATCTTCCATAGCAAAAAAGAGATGAATCTCCAATTTGGAGCCATCATATTATAGAAGGAAAAGCCTTATAATGATTTATTGGCCTTTCTTCATACTTGGAACACAATTTAAATAGAAAAAGAATAACTTTTCAATTTTAAAATTATTCTTCCATCTAATACTGTGCATTGGTTGGTTCCATAGGCTTTGTAGCTGAGCAGTTTCTAAATAACACAGCCACTCAACTGACATACCATGGATTATGTGAACTAACTTCAACGGTTCAGGAAGGAGAACTTTGTGTGTTCTTTCGGAATAATCATTTTAGCACCATGACCAAATACAAGGTATGATATAGAAATAGATATTTAATTGTTATTCTAAATCAAAGGAGTTTAATTTAGAGATGTCTTTTTATCTGCTTCAAAATAAGATTTTAGCATAATATTTCTTCACCATCAAATTGTGAAGGTAATTATTAAATACAGTACTTATGGATGGGATGCATTAGCAGCTGAAGTGTTACCTCAAATCAATTTTTGTTTTTTAATTCTCAACTTCTTTTTCACAGATTACTGCATTAAGAAGTATTATTTTCTTTCTAATTAAAAAAAGATAAACCCTTGAGATAAAACCAGGATGACTTTTTTTTTTTTTTGGAGTTGGAGTCTCACTCTGTTGCCCAGGCTGGAGTGCAGAGGCACACTTACGGCCACCCTAGCGTCGACCTGCTGGGCTCCAGTGATCCTTCCACCTCAGCCTTCCAAGTAGCTAGAACTACAGGCATGCACAACCACGCCTGGCTAATTTTTTATTTATTGTAGAGACGAGGTCTTGCCAAGTTTCCTGGGCTGGTCTTGAACCCTCAGGCTCAGGCATTCCACTCACCTTGGTCTCCCAAAGTGCAGGGATTACAGACCGAGCCACCGAGCCTAGCCTTGGGTGACTTCTAATAATGGAAGTGCATATCTCAATGCTAAAGAATTTAGAAGGAAGAGTTAAGATTTTCCTTTATGATAGTGTTCACTATGATTAAAATTATCAGTGTGACTTTAAATTCTTCTTATAGTGTCATTTATGGCTCCATCAAAAAAAATTTTACTGATGCATTTTTTTGTTATCTCTTGCATCATCTTTTCTGTTTTTACAGCTGTCTTTCCATTCAGGAGTTTTTCACTGATAATCCTCCATCTTATACACACTTCATGCTTTTTCATTTCTGTACCCTAACTGCCATATCTTACTCCTTAATCTGCTACTTCTCTCCCTAAACCAGTAGTTCTCCCTAAACCAGATCGTATACTAAAACTACCTAGGGAACTTTTGTAAAAATACCAGTCCCCAGAACATACCACCAACTCAATTAAATCAGAATCTCTAGAAGTGGGACCTGCCCATCAGCATTTTTAAATGCTCCCCAAGTAATTTTAATGTGCAGCTAAGGCAAAGGACCACTTCTCTAATCATCCTCTAGCTGTTATAGGCCATATTATGCTTATTTAGCACTTATTGATTAGTGCCTAGTTACCAGTTTTCTTTCTGAGTGAAAGTAGCTTACTGAAGTCATGAATTACTTTTTCATGTTTTCTTCAACACTATAATCAGTCGATTACACAGAGTATTATAAAATAATGGTTTATTTGCTTATGTGAAATATCCTGACCCTAGTTGTCCTATTTCTGTTTTAGTTATAGTAACAGTTATTTTTTATTGCTCCATCATTTTAACTAGATGTATGCTAGATATGGGCCCAGAGCCATCCACACTCCTCAGAAATCTAAGGCTAGAGGATCTCAGAATCAAAATTACTGCTAAGTCATCTTGCTTTATCTGGCCTCTTCAAGTTAAGGATTTATTCATTTATTTAACAAGTACTTATTGAGCCTGTCTTCTATCTAGTACTAGGACTACAGCCCTGAACAAGCATAAATGGATTCTGCCTTTTAAGGATCTCCTACTTTAGCAAGGGAACAGGTGTTAAATTATTACATAAATAATTATTAATTTATTTCTATTGAAATATGTTCTATAAAGGACATAATCCACAAGCTGTGAGTGCTTTTCAGGACTTAAAACCTAGTGGTAGTGTCAGGAAAGACTTTCTTGAGAAGGTTACATTTACACTGAGACCTGAAAAAGGAATCATCTACAAGTTTAATCAGTTAGCCAAAAAAAAGGATTAAGCAAATGGAGCATATATGCAGAAGTCCTGAGGAGAGAAAGAGTTTGACTCCTTAAGGAATTAAAAGAAAGTCAGGACCTGGCGCAGTGGCTCAAGCCTGTAATCCCAGCACTGTGGGTGGCCGAGGCAAGAGGATTGCCTGAGCCCATGGGTTCAGCACGAGCCTGGGCAACATGGTGAGTCCTTGTCTCTACAATAAATTAAAAAAAAAAAAAAACTAGCCAGGCATGATAGTACATGCCTGTAGTTGTGGTTATTTGGAAGGCAGAAAGATCTCCAGAGCCCAGCAGGTCAACACTGAGGTGACCGTCAGGATGACTGGGCAATGGAGTGAGACTCCAACTCCAAAAAAAAAAAAAGTCAGTATACCTGAAGCATAACAAATACAAGGCATGAAGAAAGGCTGAACAGTAAACAGGTACTAGATCTTATAAAGTCTTGAGTTAGGAGAAAGAGACCTTGGTCTCCTGATGGCTCTAGCAGCTCTTTTTGTTCTCTTTTTGGCTCAAGAGTGAACAAAAGTGAGGTAATTCAGTGGGAAAACAAGATCTCTGGCTGTCATTGGTAGTTGTTATATAACCTCCAAAAGCTGAGCTACAGATGCTCCCTTTTCTGTTGAGACCATCTCCCTGACCAGAAAGTCCTTTACTAGTCTGCTAGATATTCCAAGGCTTCTTACATGATTAGGAAAAGGGTGCCTCTCCTGGAGCACTTTCTACCCCGTGTCTGTGTCTGTACTAAGCATGCCTTTCTATGAGATAATGATCATGCAGGGAATGTGCACATTCTGCTGTTTCTCTACTTTCTAAGATTTTCTCTATAAATCTTACTCTATGACTAAACAGTATATTACTAGTGGTGTGTCTCCCCCTACCTCTTATGCAACATTAAAGTGCTTTGGACTTTGAAGCAAGAGTGAATGTGAGATTTAGTTAGGAAACTTATTGCATGGGGGCAAGTAAGAGATTATAGTGACTTGGATTAGGATGGTAAAGGAATGGAGAGTAGATGGATTCCAAAGCTATTTAAGAGACGTAATCAACCAGATTTGGTTATTGCATGTGAAAAATAAGAAAGAAAAAATGATTTCTAGGTTCTAGATGTGAATGGTGAAACTATTTTATTAAAACAACAGTGTTAAGAGAAGAAAGATATTGTATAATCAGCCTGGGACTGTTAGAGCTGCTTTTGAGTCTTTTCTCTAAGGGAACATTTTTCGATACTGGAATAATTTTGGTGTACAGATAGAAATTTGAGGAGAGGATAAGATTTACATGAAAAATACAGAATGAGAAAAGAAGCTGGGCTCGGTGGCTCAGCCTGTAATCCCGCACCTTTGGGAGGCTGAGGTG